AAAAAAATTAAGATTTTAAAAATTTCATTCTTTGATATTTCCATATTTTTTTTAATTCTTAAGCTATGAAAGATTACTACAATTAATAAACTAAGTTATATAACTTAGTTATGAAGAATTTACGAATAATTTAACAGTTTTCTGGAAATTGGATACACATTTTCAATAGAGGTTTATTATTAGTATCATGTAATTTCCCAAACAACTAATAGAAATTTCTTTATAAACAAGTACTTTTTAATAGGTTTATCAAGTGAAATTTATACATGGAAAATTTGTTTTTACAATTCCAATAATTATAATTTATACAAATTATTTTAATAGATTTTAAATAAATGTTATTATATAAGAATTTTAAGAAAACTCATGTATATTATTATTTATCAAATTTTTATAAATATTGTTAATTGTTTCAGAAAGAAAAAGTTATTATATAAGGATTTCAGATTTTTTCAAAACATAAGTTCTGAAAAACGAAAAAAAAAAATAAAGATTTTAAAAATTTCATTCTTTGATATTACCATATTTTTTAAAATTCTTAAGCTATGAAAGATTACTACAATCAATAACCTAAGTTATATAACTTAGTTATGAAGAATTTACGAATAATTTAACACTTTTCTGAAAATTGGATACACATTTTCAATAGAGGTTTATTATTAGTATCATGTAATTTCCCAAGCAACCAATGAAAATTTCTTTATAAACAAGTAATTTTTAATAGGTTTATCAAGTGAAATTTGTACATGGAAAATTTGTTTTTACAATTCCAATAATTGTAATTTATACAAATTATTTTAATAGATCTTAAATAAATGTTATTTATAAGAATTTTAAGAAAACTCATGTATATTATTATTTATCAAATTTTTATAAATATTGTTAATTGTTTCAAAAAGAAAAAGTTATTATATAAGGATTTCAGATTTTTTCAAAACATAAGTTCTGATAAACGAAAAAAAAAATAAAGATTTTAAAAATTTCATTCTTTGATATTTCCATATTTTTTGAAATTCTTAAGCTATGAAAGATTACTACAATTAATAACCTAAGTTATATAACTTAGTTATGAAGAATTTAAGAATAATTTAACACTTTTCTGCAAATTGGATACACATTTTCAATAGAGGTTTATTATTAGTATCATGTAATTTCCCAAGCAACCAATGAAAATTTCTTTATAAACAAGTACTTTTTAATTGGTTTATCAAGTGAAATTTATACATGATAAATTTGTTTTTACAATTCCAATAATTATAATTTATACAAATTATTTTAATAGATCTTAAATAAATGTTATTTATAAGAATTTTAAGAAAACTCATGTTTATTATTATTTATCAAATTTTTATAAATATTGTTAATTGTTTCAAAAAGAAAAAGTTATTATATAAGGATTTCAGATTTTTTCAAAACATAAGTTCTGAAAAACGAAAAAAAAATAAAGATTTTAAAAATTTCATTCTTTGATATTTCCATATTTTTTTAAATTTTTAAGCTATGAAAGATTACTACAATCAATAACCTAAGTTATATAACTTAGTTATGAAGAATTTACGAATAATTTAACACTTTTTGAAACATGATTTCGCTATTTTTACCTAAGTTTTCCAAGAAATCTCGTAAGATAAATTCTAGGAAGAAATTAATAATATTTACATACAACATTTAACGTAAATAACTTTAAAATGGTTTAAAAAATGCGAAAGATTCAACTAAATAATAAACACGTATTTCTGCTGCGAAGATTTCTTATTTAATTGTAATTTTCTGCATGCGTTTCCATCTAAAAATAGAGCAGAAAATAAAAAAAAGTTGTTTAAATCGCTGACATTGTGCATCCTTCCCGCATCCGAAAATAAACCTCTCTCATTACGTTGATTGCACAGATAAATCGTGTGTTCGTTATGATCGTGAAAAGTCATGGAAATTGCATAGCCAAAGCCCAATTAAATGCGATTCATCATCATTGTTTTTATTGTTATTCAGACCTTGTCGAAAGGTATCCTGTGTGTTTGTGTATGTGTTTTGCGGTTTCACTATCATCATTTTAAACGAACATTTTCTATATACACACACACACTTATAATAATAATAATATTCCACCACTGATTTGAATAATATCATACAGAAACCAGTTTCGCGTTGCGGTTTATTTCAGCCTCCACCTTTGTTTGACTTTTTTATAATTTTATAATCGCAGGAGGAAATAATAATGAAAAAAAATTGTATAAAATAATACAAAAAGAATGAAAATAAGTAGAGGAGAGACAATAAAAAAGATTGCATTAAACCGCACGGTATGTAAATTGAGATTCCGCGAAAGCGCGTTTAACATTTTTATTTATATACACACACACCCCAGATGAGGGAAATAATCAACAAGAACAGCACAAATTTTCGACGTCTTTAAAAGAAATAAAAGATGTTTTTTTATTGTTGATTTTTTTTTGGGACACAACACCTCCGTTCCTCGGGGAGTTTTCGGTATAATGCCCGAAGGGAAAAATTGTAAACGTAACGTTCCATTGTATCCTCGTAAAGAGATGTAGTCCTTTCTAGTTTTTTTTTCCTTCATCTTCTCTCATTCTTTTTATTCCTGCTGCTGTTACGTAAGGGAGCTTTTCTTTATTATTATCTTTTTGCTTCTTCTTCAGATAAGTTCATGCTACACCTGGCCCGATCATCATGGAAAACGGAGGCGAATGTCGGAGAACACAAAGGACTACAACGCCCAAAGAGGTATCTTCTGTTCATTACCTCATCACTATTAATTATAGATATTCTACCATTAATCACAGCTAATCCAAAATGATTATAGCTAAGATCAGATTTACACGATTATAAAATTTAACTTAACAGTAAAATTAACAAAAAAAAACTAGTATCCATTATTAATGAAGCATTTCCATTAATAAAATGTACATATATTACGTAAAAGATTATTTAATTCATATTTGTTTAAAAAAAATGAGATTGTTATGTTTTTTTTTGTTACGCCATCTATTGGTTTGTTTTGTAAACATTTTAAATTATTTTTTGTTTGTTTTTAAGATCATGTTGTTTTCCCGGAACGTACGAACTACGATGATTACATGGTCAAGATGAGCAGTAGAATTAATCCGAAGGTTTCGAAAAAGAAAAGCAGTTGCATCATGAATCTGTGCGATGAAGTCGATAATTATCCGACGGAATACATTACCAGAGTGATGAAGGATCACAAATATGACAACCTCTTCAACGATGATGATATTGTCCCTTTCGATATATCACAACGCAACCAATTCGATGGTGAAGAAACCTTGTGCAGTACAATGCAGCACGTCTACAAACCTAAGAAAGCTATGAATACGAACAAGACCGAACGCATCATCGTCAATATTGAAGGTAGAAAACAGACTTTGGTCTTCGAGACATGCGTGTAAGTCTTCAATATAAAAATAAACTATAAAAATTTGATATTAATCGTAATTTTTTCTGTTTCTGTTTTTGGGTAGTGAAAACACGAAATGCCAATTCAGCGAGATGTTCCCCAACGATTACCAAACCGAATGCAAGCAACGTTACGTTGTGAGACGTCTTTGGGCTTTGAACGATGAGAAACAACCGGCTTTCGATAGCTTCGAAGTTCCATCCTGCTGCGTCTGCACGTACAAGAAGAAGTAACGCATCTTATCGACTGATCTCTAGATTTAACGTTCTTTATTTTACTTTACTCTCCTTCTTAATTGCATTATTTTGAACCACAAATCCTAATTGCGTTCCCCGCAAAAACGAGTGAAGCGAAAAGCAAACACTTGCTAATTCAGTTTCCACAACTTCATCATCTCTGTTTCTGTTACGTTCAGTTTATGTGTGTGTGTCTTTAATGCAATTCCATTTGTTTGGTTGTAAACAGAAATCAGTGGAAATTCGGGGAACGACGTTAGCGAGGACATCGATTTCTCATTTCAAAAGCTTTGCTAAAGAGATCAGATGCGAAATTCAATATTATTTTCAAGAAATTAGTCAAAAAAAACTATATACTATAGTTTAATTAAGTAATTCTTCTGTTCTTATTTTTCATTTATGAAATTTCCAAATATTTATATTTTATTAAATATTTAAGATATATAAAAATATGTTCTATTATTGCTTGAAACTTGCCAATTATTAATATTAAAAATTGTCCCAAAAACGGATTTTTTTTTTGTATACAGAAATTAAGTCATTAATTTTGTTAAGTCATTAAGATTGTTTTAAAAGTTTATTTTAGTTCACGAATGCTTATAAGGAAAATTAGTTTTTTTTTTCATAGCAAAAATGCTTTGGTTTTTTCACCAAAGACAATTTTCTTAGATTAATTAGAATTATTGTACGACAATGAAAATAAACGTATCAAACAATTATTATTCTTCATTATTTATCATAATTTCCCTTTAAAAACTTATTTTTTCAACTTTCCTTAATTACACATCAATATCGAAAATTTAAATATTAGACAAAGTGATAAATTCAGTTTTTCAGCTATGAAATTTACATTAGGAATAAAATCAATAATTTCTTTCGTATTAATAAATATTTGCATATAGTTGGTGAATCATTTGTCAGTATTTTTGGCAATGATTCGATCAAAACTGTTTTTCTTATTTTCCCTTTACTTTTTAAAGCAGAAAATCGAGAAGGATAAAGGAGGAAGAAAAACGGAGAGATGAAGAAAAAAAATGGTCCATTGAATTGTGTCCGCTTTACTTTCCTCACTATTATTTTCGGACGTCGAAAGAAATGCGGAAGATCCCTCGATTTTGTAAGAATTGAGATGTTTACGGCTTGAAAAGAAGAGGAAAGATATGCTTTGTGTGTATATACACGAGCATAATATATATATATTGTTCGCTGCAAATTACAAGGTTACTTGGAACGTGTATAAAAGAAACAAAAACAACAACACGGCGTTCTTGATATCAATATTACCTCACGTTTTTTCTTTTGAAACTTTATATGAATTTTATAACAACCTTTAATATCCATAATTAATAATTAACAAATTAAACGTTGGCTTTCAATTAAGAAAACAAATTATATTAATATGATTCACTATTAAAAAAATATATTTGATTTAGTTAATTCGAAATTTAAAGAATCGTAGCACCGTAGAAATACTTGAAATAATTCTATAAGATAGTTTGGTTGCCTAACCTAATAATATATATTTTTTTATATTTTTATATGAACTAAAATTAGATTAGAAATTTATGCAAATATTGAATTTAATAACAAAAAATAATTATAATTATTAAAATCATTGAATTGAAGGATTATTAGTAAAAGAAGTTGTGAATAAATTTGAATCATAAAGTAGTTATAGAGGAAACAACAAAAATTACTATCAAACTAAATTTATTTTAATTCTTGTTAATATTTATACTCGGAAAAGGTAGGCTAATGTATTTAACATCGTTTTTGAACGTTAGAGATTGTACTTTATTGATATTCAAATGTAATGTACTGAGAAAGGTGATGCGAAGAAATGTATTAAGTTACAAGAGAAAAGAAATAAAATTGCACAAATCTTAAATCCTTTGAAGAACTTTCATAGGTTTTCTTAAGAGAAAATATATTCTTTCGGATAAACAACGAATAATCAAAGTATTTTCTCTTCTCTCAATGAAATTTATCTAAACGATTCATTGAATTTTATTATTAGAAAAAAAAATCAAAAACATAAAATCAAAATATATTAGCAGTAATTAATAATTATTGATGATTAAATAAAAATTTGTATAAAAAATATTTTGTTTCACATTTTACTTTTCTAAGAAACTATTCTTAAAAATTAGTTAACTTTAACAGATTTTATATTAGAACCAAGAAGAAATCATTGAAAAATATTATTATTTTTATTTAATTGAAAAATTAACAAATTTTAGATAAAAAAAACATAACTTTTAGAAATATTTTGATTCTTTAATTTGAACGAATTTTGTCAACTTCACATGTATTTCTATAATAATTCATGTATATTTTTCAATTTGTACATTTTTTTGTTATATACTTTCAATGTTCACAAACACAATAATTATTGGAAATCTCTATACATTATGAAAGTTTGTATAATTTTGAATGAATAGAAAAAGAAATGAAATATTTAATAACTTCAAGTTATTTTCCGTACAATTTTATATAAATATACGATTTTCTTTCTGCTTCATCGGCTCATATCGAAGTTGAAAATAACAGTATTCCAAAGGTCTTCGGCAAATCGCGCAATTGCGCTATTATATAACAATAAAAAAGAAACAAACACTCTGGTATGCAATGCGAAGACACGCCGTGCACCAACCGTGGTCAATCATAATCGAGTACCATGAATTATGCATGCGACTTCTTGCGCGCGCGAAAAAAATAAAATAAAAATGTAAAACCGAAAGTGCTCGTACTCGCAGGGAAAACGCACGGAAAGAGAAATTTTCCCTATACGAATTCTAAATTTTTAATGCAATTAGCACGAACAAACAGAAAAGACTTCCCCAAAAAAAAATGAATTATATTTGGAGAAGAAATGAAATTTCTAATAAAACGAGAAATTAAAAAAAGATTATAAAATGGATCTTCGGGCGATTGGAAAGTGTTTTTTTTATATATAATTCGAAATATATCGAACCAAAAAAATAAAAACTGTTGCGTAATAGTTGGATGTCTGTAACTAAATTGATTCTCGTGTCTGTGTCTGGTTTTAGAGTGAAAACAGATTTAGAAATCATTGGGTTTTCAAAGTCTCTTTCTCTCTTGTCTGCATCCATCTTCGAAGATGAATAGAAAACTGTGACTTTTTGCATTTGGTTTCTATGTAGCGTGGAGGTAAAAAGAAGGAATACAAGTAGTCAGGAAAGTTCGATAATTCATCCGGTTAAGTGGCACGATTTTGCCATATCGATCCAACCCCGAAACCGGTATCTTCTCCTCCATTCGGAAAATCTGTGTCAATGCTTAGAATTCCATAAAACGTGGAAAACAATGTAAAAAAGGCAATTAGAAGACACGATTTCGCGAACAAATACCGAACGAAAATGGAAAAACGAGGAAGCGTATTAATTTTGAATGCATGTCGCGGTAAATAATTGCATTTTCGAAACAAAGCGCTTTTAATTGAAACGATTTCAAATTATTAATATTTTTGTGTCCCCCCTTAAGTAATTTCGATTATGAAGTAATGCGTTTTCTGCGCTCGACGTGCAAACCGTTTTGCGTTTGTTTTCTTTTGATAATTAAATTTCTCGACGGAAAACATGTGAGGTGGATAATAACGAAAATATTTCGTAACCAGACCGTGACCGATGACGGTGATTTCTTTCGTTCTTTGCTGGACATCACGCTTCAACGAGCAGCCGTTGCTCTTCATTCAGCTCGAAATTATTTTATTTCATACTGATTTTGCTTTCATTGGAATCCGATTATAGGTCACCTTTCATCTCTAAACACATTCGAAATGGATAAAATAATCTTACAATTTTGTTATCTATAATTGCAATAACTACAATGTATACACTACATTTCTATCACTTGATTTAAAAAAAAAATATCCGCATCTTCCTTTCACAATACCAATTCCTTAAACTTTACTTTAAATTGGAACATATTTTGTGGATAAGACAATCAATCAATCAAATCAATTGGACTTACTTGACACTTTCCAATTACTTGTAAGTAAAATATTGGCAATTTTCATCCACAATACCAATATTTAACAATAATTGTAATATTAATTTTCTATTTGCTATCAATTGGAATTCTTGCTGACACATGTTAACTCAATCATTTACTTACTACTTTTCAATTACTTGTAAGTAAAACATGCGTATTTGCTATCCACAATACCAATATTTAACATTGATTGTACAAATAATTGAGAAATTATAACTTGTCTTTTTCTTATCAATTTGAACTAGATAACACATGTAAACTCAAACATTTACTTACTACTTTTCAATTACTTGTAAGTAAAAGATGCATAACATAACTGAGGAAATATTACTTGTCTATTTCCTATTAATTAGAACTTACTTTCTGGATAACACATGTAAACTCAGTCATTTACTTACTACTTTTCAATTACTTGCAAGTAAAACATCCATATTTTCTATCCATAATACCAATATTTAACAAAGTCTATTTCCTAATAATTTGAACTTACTTTCTGGATAACAAATGTAATCTCAATCATTTACTTACCACTTTTCAATTACTTGCAAATAAAACATCCGTATTTGCTATCCACAATACCAATATTTAACAATGATTGTATAAATTACTGAGGAAATATTACTTGTCTATTTCCTATTAATTTGAACTTACTTTCTGCATAACACATGTAAACTCAATCACTTACTTACTAGTTTTCAATTACTTGTAAGTAAAATATCCACATTTTCTATCCACAATACCAATATTTAACAATGAAAACATTACATGTTTATTTCCTATTAATTAGAACTTACTTTCTGGATGCCACATTTAAACTGAATCATTTACTTACACTTTTCAATTACTTGCAAGTAAAACATACGTATTTTCTATCCACAATACCATTATTTCACAATGATTGTATAAATTACTGAGGAAATATTACTTGTCTATTTCCTATTAAATAGAACTTACTTTCTGGATAACACATGTAACCTCATTCATTTACTTACTACTTTTCAATAACTTGTAAGTAAAACATGCGTATTTTTTATCCACAATACCAATATTTAGCAATGATTGCATAAATAAATTAGGAACTTGTACTTTTGTCTGTTCTGTCTGTTCTGTTGTGTGTTTCCTATTAATTTGAATTTACTTTCTGGATGACACATGTAAACTCAATCATTTACTTACTACTTTTCAATTACTTGTAACTAAAATATGCGTATTTTTGTATCCACAATACCAATATTTATTAATAGTTGTATAAATTACTGAGGAAATATTACTTGTCTATTTCCTATTAAGTAGAACTTACTTTCAGGATAACACATGTAAACTCAGTCATT